TCCACTTTTGAGTTGAACTCCACTTTAAGCAAAATATTTCAGACAAGAAAGCTACTATCAGTACAAAAAGATCACAAGGAACAATGTACACCCCTGGATTAAAATCATCAAACATTGCAACAAGTGTAGCCTAATTTAAAAGTTTATCATCAATGAAAGGTACAGAATTTGCTTATTACAGCTGAGCAGAAAAACAGAATAAATATGCAGTCAATTAGCAATCAAGAAAAAATTATTTTATCTCTCCGGAACCTGCACTGGTAATGGTGCAGAAGTCCTTATACAGCCCTGTCAATCTCTGCTCTATACCTATCACATAATGGCACTTTTTACTGGCAATTTAATGTTCACTAAAGAAAAGCTAATGTTTCAGGTAGTGCTTATCATTTATTAACTTGGCAGGGCATTAGCCTAGCTAAGGATAACTTATCCTAAACTGTCTATTAATTATACTTCACAACTGATCTCATGCAGGATGCAGGAAACAATTCACTAAATATTATCACATGCTTTATGTTGGTCAGGTGACCACATATCGCATGCGATACTGAAAATGTCAGTTCACTATTGCTAGTATGCGGTATTTACCACAAATAACAAAAACGCTCTATAAATACCGCATACAAAGACCTTAACCACTTCAATACCGGGCATTTTTACCCCCTTTTTGCCCAGGTAAATTTTCAGCTTTCAGCGCTCTCTCTGACAATTGTGTGGTCATTTGTTTTCTTTTTTTACGATTTTTTTTTTCATAACGCACAGATGAGCCATCAGCTGTTAGCTTCCAGCAATTAAAAATTAAGATTAGCATGGAGTCCCACCCCATCCATACCAAGCTCTTCAAGTTTGGTATGGATTTTGAGGGGAACCCTCACACCAAAATTTAAAAAAAATGGCACGGAGTCCTCCCCAAATCCATACCAAAGCCATATTTGAGCATGCAGCCTAGCAGGTCAGGAAGGGTGGGGGGGGACGAGTTTCCTGAACCACACCAGCCCATATGCCCTCAGCACAGGGGGAGTGCTTTGGGGCAGGGGGGTTATTGATGTTGGGTCAGTGAGACCACAAGGGGTCGGGTCACTCGACGATGTCACCAGGTGGCCCCACCCCTTAATTAATTAAGAACTGTCAGGTGGTGGAGCTATCAGATGGCGGAAGCCTTCATCCAAAGCAGAGCTTTTTTTTTTTTTTTCTTTTTTCAGGTCGGCGATGGAGCCAGGCATTGTTATTGCCGATGGATTTACACGGGGGGGACATTTGTTTCTTTTGTTTATTAATAAAGGACTTTTTTTACACTAAACGTTTTTTGGGTGAGTGAGTAGGGGTACCTTCTACCCCATACTCACTCACACGGGTGCGGTAGGATCTGGGGGCCCTCTTGTCCATAGTTTATCAACATGGGAACAAGGTGCTTTGAGGGCCCCAAAAGCACCCCCTCATGTCAAGAGCATGTGGCTTGGTATGGTTCAGGAAGGGTGGGCGCTCTCTCACCCCCCCCTTTCCTAACCTGCAGGGCTGAATGCTTGGATAAGGGTTTGGCATGGATTGTGGAAGGGACCCACACATTTTTTTTATTTTGGCATGGGGGTTCCCTTCAAAATCTATACCAGACCCAAAGGGCTTGGTATGGATGGAAGGGACCCCACACCATTTTTTTTCTTAATGTTCAATTGCCAGCAATTATTTTTTTTACATTCAGCTGTCAGTGGTGAATCCACTGCCAGCTGATGACTCATTGCATTAACACTTGTTTTTGCTACTATTATTTTTAGTAGCATTTTTTAGTGAATGTCAACATTTTTTTTTAAACGCTGTGCGGTATCATACTGCATACTTGGATGTGGTAAGATACTGCTTTGTGAATTGTCCCTGCAACAATAAAAATAATTTAATATTAAAGGGTAGTTATTTGCAGAATCAGACAATTCATATATAAAGAATAAGGTCTGGAGCTAGATGAGCAGCATAGGCGGAAGGCCAGACATGACTAGGTTGGCAGGATAGGCGGAGCAATGTAGGGTTAATAGAGGAGTTTTTGTTTAAGAAGGGAAAAGTGTTAGCTGATTGAAGGGGGTTTGGATGTGGCTTAAGAGGGGCCGGGTGGCTCAGGTGGAGAAAGTTGGGCGGTGCCAAAGTGGTCAGAGTCAGTCGGAGCTGGGGCAGCGTAGAACAAGTTTCTCCCGCCCTCCCTCTTGGATGACTGGATGGGTGACAGCTTGGTCGTGTTCCTCTGTTTTGGGGGGTTTGCTTGTTTTCTGGGTTTCTTTTTGACCAGAGATGTGTGACTGATGCAGGGAAACGCAGACTTCAGAAATGTGATAAACAATATAATTTATTAACACTAACCATACAAACATAAACGCAGGGCAATACTAAACATAATACAGTGCAAACAAACCAAACCAACCACCCACAGATAACAGTACATACAAGCAAGCGTCGTCAGGCAGGCCGGGTCAATATCAATTGGGCAGGTAGGTACGGGGGGGAGCAAGCAGAGAATGGTCGGGGTCACAGGCCAGGTTCAGCAGGTAGCAAGCAGCGAGGTACAGAGGGTCAGACAGAGGGGTGGTCAGGGTCACAAGCCAGGATCAGAGCAGGAGAAGTCAGCAGCAGTTCAGATCAGGGTCAGCAAAGGAACAGAAACAGGATGCAGGACAGATACAGGGCCCAGGACAAACACAACACCAAGGCAGAGTCTGCAAGTCTGGCCATCCCTTAAATACCCCAGTATCATCAGTTCCAGGTGTTAGCTGGCTGAAAGGTTGAGTCTCTGATTGCTGGGAGCACCCGCTGGCCAGCCCTGGTACTGCAGATCAAAAGGCAGGTGAGTCCCACCATTGCTGGCCAGTCCATTCCTAACAGTACCCCCCCCTCAAGGAGCGGCCTCAGGACGCTCCAAACAGTCCTAGCTGGGCAAAATGTTCCACCGCCCGGGTCTGGCAACTGGCGGGATAGCAAAGACTGGCACACCGGGCAGGACTCCGGGCAGCGGCACACCGGGCTGGACTCCGGGCAGCGGCACATCGAGCAGAGGCACTCCGGGCAGAGGCACACCGGGGGCGGGCAGGCACATCGGGCAGAGGACTCCGGGCAGAGGCACATCGGGCAGAGGCACATCGGGCAGGACATCGGGCAGGCACATCGGGCAGAGGACACCGGGCAGAGGCACATCGGGCAGGCACTCCGGGCAGAGGCACAGGCACTCCGGGCAGAGGCACATCGGGCACCGGGCAGAGGCACATCGGGCAGAGGCACTCCGGGGGACTCCAGGGCAGAGGCACATCGGGCAGCACACTCCGGGCAGAGGCACATCGGATTACCGGGCGAAGCAGCATCGGGCAGCGGGCCCAGGGCGGGCAGGGGGCGGGCAGCAGGCACCGGGCCCCCGGGCGGGGCGGGCAGGCACCGGGCCCCCGGGGGGCAGCAGGCACCGGGCCCCCGGGCGGGGGCAGGCACCGGGCCCCCGGGCGGGCAGCAGGCACCGGGCCCCCGGGCGGGCAGGGGCGGCACCGGGCCCCCGGGCGGGGCGGCAGGCACCGGCCCCCGGGCGGGGCGGCAGGCACCGGGCCCCCGGGCGGGGGGCGGCCCCCAGGCCGGCCACCGGGCCCCCGGGCGGGGCGACAGGCACCGGGCCCCCGGGCGGGGCGACAGGCACCGGCCCCCAGGCGGGGCGACAGGCACCGGCCCCCAGGCGGGCGGGGGCGACAGGCATCGTGCCCCCAGGCGGGGCGACAGGCATCGGCCCCCAGGCGGGGGCAGGATCGTGCCCCCAGGCGGGGGCAGGCCGGACCCCCAGGCGGACAGCGGACAGGTCGCCGGACCCCCAGGCGGGGCGACCTCGGGCCCCCTCAGGCGCGGCGGGGGCGCCGGACCCCCCCAGGCGGAGCGACAGGTCTCGGGCCCTCAGGCGGAGCGGCGGGCGCCGGACCCCCAGGCGGAGCGACAGGTCTCGGGCCCTCAGGCGGAGCGGCGGGCGCCGGACCCCCAGGCGGAGCGACAGGTCTCGGGCCCTCAGGCGGAGCGGCGGGCGCCGGACCCCCAGGTGGAGCGACAGGTCTCCCCCAGGCGGAGCGACCCCCAGACCCCTCGGGGACAGGTCTCGGCCCTCAGGCGGAGCGGCGGGCGCCGGACCCCCAGGATGGAGCGACAGGTCTCGGGCCCTCAGGCGGAGCGGCGGGCGCCGGACCCCCAGGTGGAGCGACAGGTCTCGGGCCCTCAGGCGGAGCGGCGGGCGCCGGACCCCCAGGTGGAGCGACAGGTCTCAGGGCCCTCAGGCGGAGGCGGAGCGACAGGTCTCAGGTCTCCCCCAGGCGGGCGGCGGCGGGCCGACCCCCAGGATCCCCAGGGGGCCCTCAGGCGGAGCGGCGGGGACCCCCAAGCGGAGCGACAGGTCTCGGGCCCCCCAGGGCGGAGCGGCGGGCCCCCAGGCGGAGCGACAGGCGGGCACCGAGTCACCAGGCACGACAGTGGGCTCCGAGTCAACTGGTATGACCGCGGGCACTGGGTCAGACACTCGGGTCATGGTCTGACGGGCGGACAGCGGGCGGACATCGGGTCAGGGGTCACCAGGCATCAGGTCATTTGGCTCGACCGCGGGCACCGCGTCATCTGGCAAGGCAGTGGGCTCCGAGTCAACTGGTATGACCGCAGGCACTGGGTCAGACATTGTATCGTCTGGCTGGACATGGTCTGGCGGGCATCGGGTCACCAGGCATCAGGTCATTTGGCTCGACAGCGGGCACCGCGTCATCTGGCAAGGCAGTGGGCTCCAAGTCAACTGGTATGACCGCGGGCACTGGGTCAGACATTGGATCGTCTGACTGGACAGCGGGCACTGGGTCACCAGGCATCAGGTCATTTTGGCTCGACAGCGGGCACCGCGTCATCCGGCAAGGCAGTGGGCTCCGAGTCAACTGGTATGACCGCGGGCACTGGGTCAGACATTGGATCGTCTGACTGGACAGCGGGCACTGGGTCACCAGGCATCAGGTCATTTGGCTCGACAGCGGGCACCGCGTCATCTGGCAAGGCAGTGGGCTCCGAGTCAACAGGCACGACAGTGCACTGGGCACCGGGGCATCAGCGGGTACCGGATTGTCTGGCTCGACAGCGGGCATCGGGTCACCAGGCATCATGACAGCGGGCACTGGGTCACCAGGCATCAGGTCATTTGGCTCAAGGTCAGCGGGCACCGCGTCATCTGGCAAGGCAGTGGGCACCGGGTCACCAGGCATTGGATCGTCTGGCTCGACAGCGGGCATCGGGTCACCAGGTATGACAGCGGGCACTGGGTCACCAGGCATCAGGTCATTTGGCTTGCCAGCGGGCACCGCGTCATCTGGCAAGGCAGTGGGCACCGGGTCACCAGATATGACAGCGCGGCTCTGAGTCAATTGGCACGACAGCGGGCACTGGATCAGGTACCGGATCATCTGGATCAACAGCGGGCATCGAGTCAACTGGCCTAATAGGATCGCAGGCGGGCTGGATCAGTTCATCATGCTGATAGCAGGCATCAGGCTGAATGGCAGGCATCAGGCTGAGGAGAGGCATCAGGCTGAGGAGAGGCTTCAGGCTGAGAGAGGCTTCAGGCTGAGGAGAGGCTTCAGGCTGAAGAGAGGCATCGGCTGAAGAGAGGCATCCGGCTGAGAGAGGCATCCGGCTGAAGAGAGGCATCCGGCTGAAGAGAGGCATCCGGCTGAAGAGAGGCATCCGGCTGAAGAGAGGCATCCGGCTGAAGAGAGGCATCCGGCTGAAGAGAGGCATCAGGCCGAGTAGAGGGCCGAGTAGAGGCTTCAGGCTGAGTAGAGGCTTCAGGCCGAGTCACGGAAGGCAGGCTCACCGGTTTGGATACTGGCAGGATGGTATTGGTTGGAAAGAATTTTCGCTTTTTTCTGGTTTTAACTACTGGAGCACTGCAAGTAAACGCAGGTCTGCAAACGAATGGAGCAGCTGGAGACAGAGAAAAACTGGAGGATGGAACAGGAGAGGGAGCAGTTGCTACAGAGGGCTCTTTTACAGGGTTAAAGGCAGGATAGGTGCAGCGAGTGGGAACAGGGTACTGACATGCGGTAGATAGCAGGGCAGGAGGAGCTGGTGGGAATACAGGAGTAGAGTTAGAAGCAGGACTGGGTCTTTGTAAGCTGACTGAGGCTGGGTGCAACAAATCTGTCCATGTCTGCAGTAGGGGTTGAACAAAGCTGAGCTTACACAAAGTCTGTCTGGTCAATGACTGCACTGCGTTGATACAATCTCTTAGTGTCTGTGGTGAACATGTGGAGTAACGCTCCAAAAGGTAACCCACATCATCCTCTAATAACCACACCAGGGACTCTACCTGGTCTGCACTAAATGGTGGCAAAAATTCATCCCTGCATTCGGGGGAACCAGATGAAACCAACTCTGCACAAACCTCAATCAATGGCTGCACCTCAGAGAACACTGTGCCCTGATCTACTAGAACATGAGCGAGCCGTATACATTCTAGCAATTCATCCCGGGTATACTCCTTCAGAGTTTGATAAGCATACTCCCTGTCATCAAACACTAGCAGATATAAATACTCAACCTCATCAAGATCCATCCTTCCCATCAACAAGCCAAGATGGCTTCCCTGTGCAGCCACTTCTGGTCAGGATTGGCCTTGGTGTAATGTCAGGGCTCCCAGGTATGACCAGAGATGTGTGACTGATGCAGGGAAACGCAGACTTCAGAAATGTGATAAACAATATAATTTATTAACACTAACCATACAAACATAAACGCAGGGCAATACTAAACATAATACAGTGCAAACAAACCAAACCAACCACCCACAGATAACAGTACATACAAGCAAGCGTCGTCAGGCAGGCCGGGTCAATATCAATTGGGCAGGTAGGTACGGGGGGAGCAAGCAAGCAGAGAATGGTCGGGGTCACAGGCCAGGTTCAGCAGGTAGCAAGCAGCGAGGTACAGAGGGTCAGACAGAGGGGTGGTCAGGGTCACAAGCCAGGATCAGAGCAGGAGAAGTCAGCAGCAGTTCAGATCAGGGTCAGCAAAGGAACAGAAACAGGATGCAGGACAGATACAGGGCCCAGGACAAACACAACACCAAGGCAGAGTCTGCAAGTCTGGCCATCCCTTAAATACCCCAGTATCATCAGTTCCAGGTGTTAGGCGGGTCAATGTCGTTTTTGGTTTGGGGAGGTCACAAGAGTAGGTGGGGGGTTTAAAAGTTTAGGAGCAGCCGTAATATCTACAATACCTTAATCATGGAATCTGTCACTAGGATTAACAAATGAAAATCCCCCATAACAGTTTTATTAACTGTTGATCCTGCCAATTTCCGCTATCTATTATTTGTCTACTTCAGTTTACAGGATGAGGGCCCTGTGGAAGAGTCTTGTTAGATGTAAAGGGTAATGCATCTTTATCTTTTTGTCCTTCAGCTGTACAAGCTCCTGTACTTAAAATATTAGCTGATATCATTACACACTGTGGGCTTCTCATAATGTGCATTAGAATCTGCAGAATGCCAGATATACCCACTTTATTGCCTGGCTGGATGATGTCCAGCATCAGCAAGCCCTTTCCTTCCCAGCCAAATTTTCCTTGGCTTGCACATTTTATTAATTGGATTTCTGTTCTTTCAGTCATGGAGGCTCAGCATCATATTGGGTGTTATCTAAGGTGGTGCTCAGATTAACATCCTTCCATCCTATGTACTCCATGTACCATACAACTTGAGATATTCTACCTTTTTAGTAAATCAAACCCTATACCTCTACTATACTATGTCAATGTTAGCCTCTTCCTCTTATGTATACCGATTCTTACATATCAAATGTAGGATCAAAACAAAATGTATTACTCAAAGTCTACAAAATGGTAAAACAGACTCCATTTATTCCAACAACATTGTTTTGTATAAGATATACAGTACATAGACAACTTGCTTTACTATGGTTAGTTCCAGAATTCTACATTTAACCAAAATGAAGGAGGCCTCACCTTCACAGCCAACCTTGATGCATAAAGCATAGACTTTTGATATACAGCTCTCTCTTCAAGAACATAAATACATCCATTCCAGAACATTGTTTTAAAAGACTATAACAGCTACACTGACTTTCACAGCTGTCACTAAAAAGGTTGGAAAACAAATATAGGCAATATATCTAAGTTTGCCAACCTCATTCACTGTTCCTCTTTATAGCAATTACCTTAACAAAACAATGCAGGAAAATCTAAGCGGGACTTTTAAGGTATATACATCGTCACTTCAAATTGCATACACAATTATTCTATTTACTGGTATACATGATTAAAAACCATTATAAAACAATATTGTCAGACATGTAACATTTCTTCTACTTCTTTTATCCCAGTGCCAAAGATTGTCTAACAGTTAGTATACAGTTCATAACTCAAATAATATAATTTTCACAAAAGGTCAACAATGGTTGAGAGGTAGAAATCTGGGTGTGTTAAGTGAATAGAATTCACAAGAGGTGGAGACACATATTCTGTATGTCTATAATTCAAACCAGTCTCAATGAAAATCAATCAGGTTTGTGCATTCCATCCAAATCTAGCAAATGGGGTGGGGCAAGAGACCCAAGGAAAAAGGGCTTGATCAGAGCATCTAAATCTAGATACAATGATTTGGATTATTTTACCAAAGAAATGTAGCAGACTACATTTTGGCCTACATTTATGAAGAAATATTATTTGCCAAATTTTTATAACAGAAACTAAGAAAAAGTTGGGTTTTTTTCAAAAGATTTTGGTATACTGTTCATAATGCATTCATAGAAATAAAAATTCTGTGGCAATTAAATACTACCAAAAGGAAGCTCTAATTGTGTGAAATAAGACATACATTTCATTTGCACACAGTGTTACATGACCAAGCAATTTCCAGTTAACCAATTGCCCTCCTGAAGATTTACCCCCCTTCATGACCAGGCTGCGCTACTTTAAAGCGGTAATAAATCACATGAAAAAAAAAATCCCCTGCAAGGTAAAGGCATAATGTGCTAGTATGCATCGCACACTAGCACATTATGTAAAACTTACCTTAAAACGAAGCCCTCCAGCGGTGCACTGTCACCACTGTAGAGGCTTCCATCTTCACCCGGTCTTCCTTTCAGGTTCATGATCCCCGGTCATCTGGCTGGATGAGTCACGATGACGTCACTCTTGCGCGTGCGCATGGAAGTCTCGGGACACGGCACAGTGCTCTGAAGGAACAGCACAGGAATGCCGTTCCTTCAGAGCGCATGCCTCGGCCGCAGAAAAAATAGAATATCTCCTAAACAGTGCATGTTTAGGAGATATTCATTGTATCTACAGGTAAGCTTTATTATAAGTGGCTTTACTTACACTTTAACTGACAATTGCGTGATCATGCAACACTGCACAAACATGAAATTTATATCTTTTTTTCACACAAATAGAGCTTTCTCTTGGTGGTATTTGATCATCACAGTTATGTTTTGCGTTATAAACAAAAAAAGACCAAAAATTTAAATTAAAATATTTGTTAATTTTTATATTACTGTATATTGGTAACCAGCGCTTAAGGCACAGTCCACAGTTTCTTAGAAGTTCATCTCCAATGTCACAGGAAAGATTCAAAATTTGAATTGCTATATTCTCCTCATGTTCTCACTAGATGAGGCAAATCAAGTCCTTCAATCCGCACACCTGTCTTCTCTTGTATGTAAATGTTCAATTTGACTCCAACTTGTCTCTCTCCCACCATGTAAAAAATGTAAATCACTATTTGCTATAAAACATATCCAATAAAAAAATGTAAAAAAATATAATTTCTTTGGAAATTTAGGCCAAAATGTATTCTGCTACATGTCTTTGGTAAGAAAAATTCCTAATAAGTGTATTATTCATTGGTTTGCATGATAATTATAATGGTTACAAATTTTAATATACTGTATATACTGGCATTTCTATTTTTTTTTTTACACTAGTAATGGTGGAAATCAGCGACCTATACCAGGACTGCAATAGTACAGCGGGCATACTGACACTGGGTGGAAAATGACTAACTGCCACTGACATCTCCAGTGACACTAATACAGTGATCAGTGCTAATAAAAAGCAGTGACACTGTACTAATGATACTGGGCAGGAAGGGGTTAACATTTGGGGTGTTCAAAGGGTTAAGTGTGTGTTAGGGAGTGTTTTTCCTGTGTACTTTGTTGTGTTTTACTAGATGATGTGTTGGTTTTTATCTCCCTGCTTTGCAGAGAGATAAAAAAAATTGGCATGTCCCCGCTGACACGAGAGAGATCTCCGTCCTGTCAACTGGTCCACCGATCTCCAAGTTCCGGCCATGAATTGCTGGCTGGGATCCGGTGATTGACATCTACAGGAGCCAATGACAGCATGGGTATCCCCCCACACACACACCTGGAAATGCAGAATCACATATATATACACATAATTATGGACAGAGCAA